AGTACCGCAAGTTGCTGCCCACATCTACAAAACAAGCTATGGTGCCAACTTCGCCGCCGTCAAGATACCCGCCCACGCCGGTAACAAAACGAACCGAGGCTGAATTAAAACCTGGTCCATGAGCGCGAATTATATCAATCGACATATCGATCTGGCGCCAGCGTACAGAGCCCTGCGCATTCACCTTTAGCCACTGCGTCACAGACAGTTGATTGGTTTATACACTCCATAACTCTTGGCTATGTTGTTGCTGCTTTTACCTCTGACGGCGAACTCCTGTACGAGTTTGAAAGTTCGGGACAGCAGACTGTTCCAGCGCTCGCCCAACCTTCTTCATTACTCACGCAAACACCTGGAATTCGCGAACCTTCGCATTTATTTATTCAGGAGGGGAGGAAGAGGAAAGAGAAACTCACATCCAGGGAGGTGCCGGTAATAACGAGGGGCAGGTGACACCTTCTGCGGAAGGCATTCAGCTCCAGATGCGCCTCACTGCGGCCAGTCACGGACTGGAAGATGTGCAGCGGTTGGCCATGCGGAACCAGACGTGAAGACTTTGCAATACACTCGGCTGTCTCCAGTTTATCACCCGTCAGCATCCAAACCTTGATGCCCGCGTTACGTAGGGTTTCCAGAGCCGGTCGAACCTACGAGATAAAAAGGAGGCATTCATAGTATGAATCAGTATTATCAAAAGGCAGGGGAATCAGTGAAAATAGTAAGTTTACTCCTTAAGCTTGAAGAGCGCAAACATCAACTGCTGCGATTCAATGAGACAGATGCTCGCGAAAAAAAACCAATACCCTAGCAAATTACATTGAGAATAGACGCGTTTGACGACCCCTATGGGGCCCGTACAGTCAATGCATCTAAAGAATATGAAACATGATGCTACATCAATCGCGTTTGTAGGCGAATCCCTGAAACTTTTTAAGTTTGGCTAATAAAACTCACTCCCTCCTGAAGACGATCTTCAACCCCGGTAAGGCAGAGCAGCTCCAGATCGACTTCTATCGTTGCCACGGCAGCTTGAACTTTGGCTGCCCGATCCGCCACGCTCATAGTGGCCTGGTGGTACCTAGGGGACAATAATCAAATAGTAAGATTCAGAGCCAGAATTCCGTAGAA